ATGCCACAGGAGAAATTAAAGGATATGGCATGATTACGAATAGCGACTTCTCCATTCGGAAGGTAACTTATGTGGAAGGCCTGCAACATAATCTAATAAGAATTTTTCAATTGGTTGTAGGTACAGGGCTGAAAGTGTCATTCGATGATGATGGATTAGAGATTATTAAGAAAAAAACAAAAATAATACTTTTGAAATCCAAAAGAAAGGGAGAGACGTTTCTACTAAACATAAAACCAATCATCGGGAAGCCTTCCATTTTCCTACTTACGAAAGCATCTTTGGATGACAGTTGGCTATGGTACTGAAGGCTCTCACATTTGAATTTCAAGGACATCAAAAATCTTGTACTTGGTGACCTTGTAAGAGGACTCCCTCTTCTGAAGTTTGAGAAGGAGCATCTGTGTGCAACTTGTAAGCTAGGGAAGCAGATTTGGAAGAGTCACTCAACTATTCTTAACACCAAAATCATTGACCCTTAGAATTGTTACACATTGGTCTTTGTGGACCGTCTGTTATCGAGGCATTAATGGTAACAAATATATTATGGTCTTTTTTTATAACTTTCCAAGATTCACTTGGGTTTTCTTTCTTAAATAGAAATCAGACGCCACTTTGAAGTTGAAGGATTTCATCAAGCAGATAGAGCTTCAATTGTGAAACCCATTCAGAAAGTTTGTAGCGATAGCAGTTCTAAATTCAAAAACCAACCGTTTGAAGAATTCTTAACTAGAAAGGAGTTTCACATTACTTCTCTTCTCCTTACATTCCTCAGCGGAACAGTTTATTTGAAAGAAAAAATCGATCCCTTTGCAAAGCTGCAAGGACTATGTTATCTTTTACGAACTTTCCACTTTATTTCTAGGCTGATGATTTGAACTACATGTTTCACTCATAATCTCTCTTTAACTAATAAATGATTCTTAATCACACCTTATGAGATTCTGAATAAACGAAAACCAAACATTAAGTTGTTTCATGTCTTTGGTTCCAGGTGTTTTCTATTTAATTCCAAAGAGCAACGGAACAATTTTGATGTGAAAGCAAACGAAAGAATCTTCTTGGGTTACTCTCTTATTTCTAAAGCATATAGGGCTCTGAACAAGAAGTCGAAACAAATAAAAGAAACCTATTATGTAACATTTGAAGATAACTATCTAAAGAAGTATTAGAAAGCTTATTTTCCTTACGAGGAGATTTTCTTTCGAAAAATCCAACGACCATTCCTCTTTTAAATTTTTACGAGCAATTCATGAACTTGTTTGATGAGCCTGAAAAAGCTATTTCTTCAGAATCGAATGCAACAGATAATAAGGAAGATGAACTGAAGAAAATCATTGACGAAGCTGCAAAAGATCTTGGAAAAGAGCCACCCATTCCGAAGGGTTCTAAAATTCTACCTCCACCACAAGCTTCTAATGCTCCAGTTTAGGGGGAGAATTCAAATCCCGAAGTCAATACTGATATTCCAGTCCAGGGGGAGAATCCAATTTCGAACGAAGAGTCAAATGCAAACTTCCAGGGGGAGAACGAGAATGAAAATAATAACTCTGATGCTCAATCAGAATTCGAAGATGTGAATGCAGAATTGCAACCAACCTATGATCCGAACTATCCTCCATTAGCCAAGTGGACCAAAGATCATCCTAAATCTCTAGTAATCGAATCAACTTCTTTTGGAGTTCTCACAAGATCTCAACAAAAGTGAATCAAACTACAATATTTTCAAACATGGAATTTTGCATGTTTAATTCGTTCATCTCCAAAATTAAGCCTAAAACTATAAAGATTGCTCTTGATAATTTCTACTGGGTGCAAGCTGTGCAGGAAGAATTTAATGAGCTTGAGCGTAACAAAGTATGGAGATTAATTCCAACTCCGAAGGATGCATCTGTAGTAGGATTAAAATGGTTGTTTCGGAATAAGCTTGAAAAATAAGGCAACCTAATTTGGAACAAGGCACAATTAGTTGTGAAGAGATACTGCCAAGATTAAGGCATAGACTATGAAGAAACATCCGCACTAGTTGCAAGGCTAGAATTTGTTTGGATATTCCTTGCCTATGCAGCTCATAAAAGTTACAAAGTTTATCAAATAGACACAAACTGTGCATTTTTGAATGGTTAATTAGAAAAAATAATCTATGTGGAACAGCCACATGGTTTTGTAAATGAAAAATGTCCAACTCATAGCTATATTTTGGATAAGGCTGTGTATTGTCAAAAAAGAAAGCACCTAGTGCATGGTATGAAACCCTAACTCAATTCTTGAAACAATCCAAATTTTAACAAGGCTCGATCTGCCCAACCTTCTTTCGTAAGAAAGTTGGTGACCATCTGATGATCGTCCAAATTTATGTTGATGATATCATTTTTGGATCCACTAATCCTAGGTTAATACCTCAATTCTAAAAAATGATGGAAACTAAATTTGAGATGAGCTCAATGGGTTATATTAACTTTTTCCTTGGTTTAAATATTAGACAGAGTTTGGAGGGTATATTCATCAACCAGGAAGCCTGCACGAATTCCTTGCTTGCAAAATTCAGAATGGTGAGAGACTCAAAGGTCAAAGTTCCAATGGCGTTCAAAATGAAGCTAACACTATCCTTGGACAAATCGACAACGAATATGACTCTTTATCTAGAAATGATTGGATCGTTAATGTATCTAACATCCAGTCATGCACATATAATGTTTGTTGTTTGCTATTATGCCAGGTTTTAAGCAAATCCGTGTGAACCTCATATGACTGCTATGAAGAATATTCTATGATACCTAAAAAGAACCACATCTCTCAGAATATGGTACCCTTCTAACTCATGATTCTTTGTACAAACATATTTTGATGCTGATCTTGGTAGATGCGGTCTTGATCGTAAAAGTACAACTGGAGGTTGTCAAATTTTGGATGGAAAACTTGTCAGTTGGCAATCTAAGAAGCAAACATGTATCTCCTAATCCACTATTGAAGCTGAGTATATCGATGCTACATCATCCACTTCACAAGTTGTTTGGATTCAAATTTGGCTTAGAGATTACGAGATAAATATGAAGAGAATTCCATTATACTACGATTCAGAAAGCACAATTCAGATTTGTAATAATCCAGTGCAGCACTTTAAGACAAAATATATTGCAATGGCATATCATTTCATCAAGGATCACGTTAAGAATGGAAACGTTTAAGTATAGTTTGTAAGATCCTCTAATAAATTGGATGATATCTTCACAAAGGCCTTACTAGAAACGACGTTCAATCGTATTTTACAAGGTCTCACAATGATAGAAGCTAATTCGGTTCCGAAATACCTTTCATAATTGGATTTAACTATTCACTTACGAGTATTTGGGGTCATTCGGATTTTACTGTTTATGATCCGAGCTTCAGAATGTTTCGAGCGCACTGTTCTTATGGGTTTTGGAACACCTCTGTATAATTTGTATACTAAGTGTCTTTTGAATGGTTTCGAGCTTCAGAATGATTTGAAAGATATTGTTCACTAGTATTTCTAAATTGTTTTTCTATTTTTGTTTCTTTTTCAGAAAATCAAAGTTACAAAAATATTTTCTTCATTTCTATTTTTATATCTTTTCAGAAAATCAAAAATAAAAAAATATTTTACTATTGATAAGCTTTTAGGTACATATTCATCATGATCTTAATTTAGAAAGATGGGGCAGGTATAACATTTCTAATGTTTTTACTAGCTAAGTGTCCCTAGAAGCATGCGGATGCATGTTGTCCTAAGCCTCTTAGACTCTATGTTTGAAGCCTTAATGAAACTCTCACTCCGATTTTTTCATCCCAATCAAGTTGATATTCACATAAGTTATTGAGCTACCTTACTTTTCTCACAATGAGTTAAGAGTTGACTGCTTTGTCATTATATTTTAGCAGATGTACATTTTTCTCTTCGGAACAATCTCTAATATTTCTCCATCAAATTCAATTTCATACAATGTAACCCTTGAGACTCTCAACAAGTACCACTGAGGTTTATGGTTACACAACATCTGTGTTGATAATCTTCAAATCGTTATCACCAAAATTTAAGTGAAACCCAAAGTCTGTAACCTACTATTAAATTAACGGTGAAAAATTAATATGTTCTACATTTTCACCATGGAATTGACACAAATAACCTTTTGGTTGGTACCTTCAAAAGCATAAAATATTAATTTTTTTTTGATCGAGTGATCTTTATGAAAAGGTCTCGATCCAAGACTTTTCTTCCCAAAGGATCCAATTCTTATTTTTTTTGAGATTTCACTAATATCCAGTCACTTATAAGATATTCAAAGCTTATGTGTTTTTATGGCTACACTGGTCAGACAAGTACTTCCTCCACACTTTCGGACTTATATTGAGTTTTGGAATTTGGTTGAAGGTAAAGCCACCCATATAAGCCTATGAAAGAAGCCTTTCACTATTTCTTGACAAAAAAATGATAGCAATTTAACAGGAAACCACACAAGCACTTCCGAGTCTCTCTTGAATCCAAAGGAAGATATTGTTGCCTAGGATCCAACTACTTTTATGTTAATTTTTAACTGACATCACACAATCCCTCAGATATAAACTTGTTTTATTTTTTTTTCTTTGGCACACTCTTGCACAAAAATCTTTTGATTTTCACAAGCCTTGTTTTGGTTTCGACTATTTACTTTAACTCAGTGATAGGTTGTGGTAATAGGGTTTTATTTCAAAAAAAAATGAAAAGGAGGTTTATTGGGGATAAGAATTCAAAATTGGGTGCGCGATTTTCAATTCCTGAACATCATGCCTATCAGTTACATGATGTCTGGCGTATCCTGACCTATTACGCTTTCCTAGGATACTTTTCAGGGATTATTAACCATCAAACTCCGATTTCGTCTCACTGTGTTAACGTGTAAAAAGGTTTTTGATGATTGATTTTCCCTCGTGCTCACAAAAACTCTCTAGTCAAAAACCCTTTGTCTCTCTATTTAATGTTCATCATCTTCTTTGCTTATTCCATGGCTGGTTCATCTGAGACTACATTGTTTACTGACCAATCAACATCTGTGATCACGCTGAATGTGAAACCAGGTCATAATTTGATCCTTGATCTCACTGCCTCATGCTACAACGAAGCCCTACGACCGATGATTGGGTGTTTTCATTTCTCACCCCTAGCTCAAGCCTTGACCATGGAAAAATCCATCCCTCTCATCCATCTTTTAAAGGCATTATCCACTACATCTTATGTTCCTTCTAATGACGCTGTTAATTTTGAGGTTGATTCTCAAAAAATCGCCATTACAAAGGCTCAATTCTGCAGAATGTTAGGGATTGGTGGTTCTGAGGGCCTGGTTGATCCTGATTCTATTTCTTCGGTTGATCTCATTCACATGTTTGATCAAATGGGCTATAATGATGATCTTACACTCCTATCCAAGTTCAAATATTGTAACCTTCCTCCTATGTGGAATGATCTTTTCACCTTTTTGTGCAAAAGGTTCTCTGAACGCGTTCCCAGCTCCGACAGTGCAAGTAAGCTCTTTACCAGCATTATTTATGGCTTGTATCACAGTATCAACTTGGATTACATTTGTATTATTTGGGCAAAGCATACTCAAAGCAACTCTTCTACCACTAGCAACACAAAATTTTCCTGTGCTTGGTTTAAGTCCATTATCATCAAAAGATCCCTAGTTCACTATGACGTTTCTTTTGCTGACGATGTTGTTATTGCGATTTCAATCCTACAGACGTCAACATTTATGTTGTATGATCCTACTAAGTTCAGTTTAATTGGATCGATTCCACAAGTCATTCTTGCAAAAGTGCCTCAAGACAATGTTATAGTCAATACATATCGAAAGTTGCCTTCATCAGGTCCTCGTCTAATGACTGATGAAATGCGAATGAAACTTGAAGAGGCTAACAAACTGCAAAAAAGAGCAAAGTGAAAGTGCAAGGCTGGTGCTTCGAAAGTGGTTAAGACTCCGAAAAAGAAAGTCAAAAAGCAAGCTCGCAAACCAGAGTCTCCTTCTCCGGTTGCTGAAGAGGATTTGGACTCCCAGACTGTCTCAGATTTCCGAAGAGACTATACAATCCTATGACATCCCCATTTTCACGGCCAGAAAAGACCGATTTTATTTATGCTTTATAAAAATTAGAGTATCTCTTTTAATAAAAATGTTGCAGAATTTGTTCCCAGAAAAACACGATAAATACATTATCAAAACATTTTCGAAGAAACGTATTTTATTTATGTTAAAACGTTTGGGATGTCATCGTTAATACATAAACATAAGCATAAATGGAACTTACATTTATTTACACTAGTGATCTACATCCCTTTAATCTCTCAGTGTAATGTGACTTCATATCAACACCTGTGATGTAAATAAACCGAGTGAGTCAAGTTGGGAAACCTGGTGAGTACATAGGGTTTTCAACCCACAATAATATAAATTATTATGTTTAAATATTGAAGCAATCAACCCAATTACCCATCCCCATTCTATTCTTTATTCTACTCTAAGAATTTAGCTATTCCTCGTTTATTTATTCCTAAGGGTTATCCTAAGGAATAAACACAAAATCCATCGTTGCCAAGGTTTACTCAACGGGCACTAAATCCATAGTTCCCAAGGTTTATCTCGTTTATTGACAGTATTGTTTCCGAGACTCCTCTCGCAATACAGGTCAATGGGTTTTATCTCGTTTATCGACGGTATCGTTTTCGAGACTCTACTCGCAATACATGTCGATGGGTTTTTAGAGTACACCTGGTGAATACATAGTTCAAAACACCTACAGGTTGCGAACCCTGCTAGTGTCCACTGGACTGTCTAGAATAGTCCGTGGTTGTCATCCATACTCTGCTGGATGACGGGGACATCAATTGGGAAAAAGGCTTATCTCATGGTTCACCTCTCACCCTTACCTCATGGTCTATATTACCTCTTCCTCATTTTATTTTTGTCACACAGAAACTATTTCATCTACCCATGTTTTATCCCAACGTATTTGTAGATATAAAATATATATATATATATATATATATACATATATATATATATATATATATATATATATATACAGTTTAAATCATTTAAAACATGTATAAAACCGTTCACCCCAGTATAGATAGCAAGTATTCGGATAATATGAACACATAGCACGTAATTTATATAAAATACTTCATATCTATGTGTAAGCTGAAAGTAATTATGCACTCACTTGAAAGGTAGTGACTAAGCACTCGGAAAACCTAGTACCAATACCACTAGGGTTTAGTCTAACTATAACCGCGATAAATTAATAGTCTGACTATTATTATATTATATAAGCGTTAAATAACACTCAATATAACTCATAATAATAGCCCAAATAATTATTTTAATGACCTAATAACATTACTATAATTATTTGGAAGCTATATTAAAAATTGCGTAAGCGTAGCACACTTACAATGAATTTTATCGAAAACCAGAACTTATTTGGAGCAGCGTTTCGAAACCGAAAGACTCCTTTTTCTCGGGACTCCGGAAGCCTTGCGGCTTCCTTAGAGTGCTAGGGGTTCACCTAGACTTTAGGGAGGGTTCAAAACCGTAGAGAGAGAAAGTTTAGAGGGAGAGATATGAGAAAGGTGTGAGAAATTCGGATGAATTCGTATGCTATTTATAGCCTCAGCAGCCTCGGAAGTACGTTGGGTGTAGTCCTTGGCTACTCTGGGCGTAGTTCACATCAGGCTACGAGATGGCTTTGTACGAGACATGCGTCAGACATCGGTTGGAGCTACGCGGCTGCTTGTGGACCGAGGGTGGCAGCTGTACGCAGCGCGTACTGAGCTTCGACGTTGGGCGTA